TGTTTTAATAAGCTCTCCGAGTGATTGTGGTGCACACTACTGTCCCAGTGGTTGATTCCGTTCTCCCACCTAGAAGTAGACTTGCTGGGTGGGATTTGTGCATTTTTAAACCCTGATATAGATTACCAGACTAACCTCCAAAAAGTTATGCCAGTTTGCAATCCAGTGACAGTGTATGTCAGTTTCCTATATCCTGACCAACAGTAGAATCTGCATTTTTTTAATTTTAGGCTAAATTTTTGTATTGTTTTGGGTTTGGGCACATTTTTCTGGTGGCATAATCTTTTTTTCTCAGTTATTTGTAGTTTTTATTTGTTTGTCTTTAGTAAGTGAAGGTGTTCTCCACCCAAAAGAGTACCTACATAATTCACTTTTTTGTTTGTTCAATCTGGTATTTATTTTTCTATTTAGCTTGAAGGTAGGGATCTCCTTTTTTTCCCAAATAATTATCGAGTTATCCCAGAATCATTTATTAAACCTATCCTTTCACTGAGAGTTTCAGATACCATACATAAAATAAATTCTGGACTATCTATGTCTATTTCTTGAGCTTTTTCTTTTCTTCAATCTTCTTATCTTTAAGCTCCTTGAGAATAAGGACCAAGGCTGCTTGGTTCATTGCTGTAGCCTCAAGGACTGACCCCACTGCCTGTAATACAGTGGGGGCTAGATATGTTTGTTGACAGATCACCTATTTCTTTCTATACCATTGCTACATTTTGAATTACTGTAGCTTTACAATAAGTATGTATTGTTTTTATGTATTTTATGTCTTTTTATTTTTTAATTTCCCTTGGCCAATATAAAAAAGTCTTCAAGGGGCGCCTGGGTGGCTCAGTCATTAAGCGTCTGCCTTCGGCTCAGGTCATGATCCTGGGGTCCTGGGATCGAGCCCCACATCAGGCTCCCTGCTGCACGGGAAGCCTGTTTCTTCCTCTCCCACTCCCCCTGCTTGTGTCCCTGCTCTTGCTATCTCTCTCTCTTTGTCAAATAAATAAATAAAATCCTCTTTAAAAAAAATAAAAATAAATTTAAAAAATTAAAAAGTCTTGAAGATGAGCATCAGCAACATTTTTAGTCCCCCAAAAAACTAAGATTTTGATTAAAATATAATTAAATATATGACTTATTGGGAAGAATTGTTACCTGTATGTTGTTTTATTATCCAAAACATATTGTTTCTCCATTGTCTTAAATTTATTGTTTAATTTATTTTAGTCTTACTCTTTTCTCTTAATAGGTATAATAGTTTTCCAAGTAATTATCTTGGGACTTCTAGGTTTTAAGTAACATTATCTATAAATAATAATTTTGTCTCCTTTCCAGTATTTATTGCATTGGCCAGAATTTCCACTATTAACAGTAGAAAGAAGAAATTTGATCTTGATTTTTACAGTGGAAGGTAAGGCCTTTAAACTAGAAGACCTGGGGAGAAGACTCTTCATAGAGCTAATATGACAGTGATTCAGGGTAAAAGGAGTAGCATTGAGGACTTGTATATAGCACCTTGAACAGCATCTGTCTTTATCATGTAAATCTTCATTTAAAAAAAAATTTCTTTAAGAGAGGGCAGGGGGTGTAGGGGGGGACAGAGGGAGTGGGAGAGAGAGAATCCAGCATGGAGCCCAACAGGGCTCCACACGGGCTCATGGCCAGGCTCAATCTCATGACCCTGAGATCATGACCTGAGCCAAAATCAAGAGTCATCGCTTACAACTGAGCCACCCAGGTTGTACACACATTATTATGAGGCCTCAGCTAAACTCCAGAACCAGATATATGGGCATAAATGGTGGGCACTCCTTTTTTAAGCATCAAATCACAAGCAGTTCTCTATATAACTAAACGGTATGGTTAAGGAGTTTAGAATTTTTGTTTTGGCATGGATTTCTACCTTAAAGAATTAGTGCCTTCTTGGGTACATTATCTTTGAATTCAAAATGTGTGGTATTTCTGGATTTGACAAATTATTGATCCTTTTGGTAAGAGGAGGAAGGGAATAGTGGCACGTGGTTGGAATCAAAGACAGAACAAAGCACCACAGCAGTGCTTCATGCACTAAATAATTCCAGTGTTTGGCATTAATGGAGTTTGTTTTAATATCTGAGCCTGGTTATAACAAGCAGTTTGCAAAGATCCTATTATACAACTAGAAGGAAGCTATGTGTATTATGATATAGAATTTAGAATGATTAATAGTCACAAATATATCACTGAATATTTCTATCCATGATTGTTGTGCAGATTCACCCTATTCTTTATATAAAATTTTTATATTCAGTAGCACAGCTCATTTGATTTGTGAATAGTTTTTTTAAATTTGGGGGAAAAGAAAATTGTGAGCAACCCTCTAAATAAAGTAGAAAAGAATAATAGGTTGATTTTTAAAATGATCTACCATAGTTGCACACTCTGTGTAAATTCTTAGGCCAGATATTTTATATAGACAAATTTTATTGATCATTATGTAATTTTACTGGCACTGTTCATCCTTTTGCTATAGTTTTACTGTTTTTCTCCTGGTTTCAGTTTGTTGGTTTGTTACTTGCCCTGTCTGCCTGGCTTTGTGTTACTTACATACTGTGAATTATAAATGTGAAAACTAGTAAATTGTTTTGCCTGTAATTCAGGAGGAAAGGTATACTGAGCACAAAATTTTGATCAGTTGTATATCATCTGAGTGATATGCCTTGGAAATAGTGTCCTCTAACAAGATAAATTGATACGAATGGATGTGTTACTTGCTGAATTGTCAGATACCTAATATTACTCTAGGTTTTTCTTTTTGATCATAAATATTGTTTTGTTTTTTAAAAAAACAAAACATGTTTCACTTCTCCATTCCTCAAACTCTGATCCAGTGCAAAGTTGTGAAGGGTTTGAAGGGGGAATTGTTCCTGTATAACGTGAGGTCTTCAACACTACTAGCAACCAGGGAAAGGGAAGGGGAAGTGAAAGGTGTTGAGAGAAGACAGAGGAGACAAAGCTCAGCAAGGATACAGGAAGCTAAAGATGAAGATGTCGGTGACTAGATTGTAAAATGTAAACAACTGAATGGCAAGAATTATCTTTTTACATTGGTGACTTGGAGAGTAAATACTCAGTATATGCTATTGCTTAAACAATGGTATGATTGTCTACCAGTCACTTAACTAGCAACCTCTTCAATGCCCACATTTCTCTCACTGCTTTCATCCTATAAATCACCATTTGCAGTTAACTCTACATCTGAATCATGTTATAAATCTCTCCTTTCCCTTTCCAGTACCACTGCTTTGCTTCCTGAATGGCTTTCTCTCTTCTCTTTGAAAGTTTAGACTCCATGAAACCATCAGGATTATTGATCTAAAACACAGATGTGATAATATCATTCTCTAATTTAAAAACCCAAAATGAGGGGTGCCTGGGTGGCTCAGTTGGTTAGGCGTCCAACTCTTGGTTTCAGCTCAGGTCATGATCTCAGGGTTGTTTAAAAGCGTGGAGCCTTCTTAAGAGTCTCTCTTTCCCTCTCCCTCTGCCCCTCCCCCCCCATAATATAGATAGATAAAATTTTAAACAATAATAACTGAAAATGATATCTCATTATAGTCAAAAGTCCAAACTTTAGCATGACAGTCAAGACTTTTTACAATCAGACCTCATTCTGTTTCTCACCTGATACACCACTATTCCCCTCCTTGTACTGACCCTACTGTGGTACTCAGAGTTTGCTAACCCTCCGCAGATTGTGCTCCTCCATATTTTTGTCTAAGCTGTTTCTTTCTCAGTATCCTGTGTAGAAGTCCCATAACATTCAAATAGAATATACCTTCTCTTCTGCAATTTTCCTCACTCTATTCCTCTTAACCCCCAGCAGAATGAAAGGTTCCTGTCTGCTTCCGTTATGCTTTCTGTATAACTCCTATTAAACTTCTGTTCACCTTGTATTGTAAATTCTTTTTGACAGTAGATTGACTCCTTAAGGATGGTAGTTTGCTATCATTTATTTAGCAGAATGCCTAGCATATAACAAGTACTGTGTGCATCATCATCTCATTTAATCTTCTCAACAGCCTTATGAGGTTGGTGCTACTGAGACAACATCCTCATTTTACAGTTAAGTAAACTGAGAGGTAAAAAGGCCTCACGGCTGGTACACAGCAAAACTCGAACTCCAGCCTGGATCCACCTAACTCGTGAAGTCCATACTCTTAACTGTTTTGCTGTATTCCCCCCCACCCAACATCTGTGTTTCCTTGGTGCCTGCTATCCTTTGGTACAGTAGGTACTCTGTCAGTGCTTACTGACTGAATGAATAATAAAAACTCCAGTTCACACTGTGATTTCCATTGAAAGGGAGAGTGAAAGATGTCTGTACCATTCATAAAAATGTTTAAAAGAATCATCAAAATACATACATACACAAAACAATTCAGTCTGTTATTGGCTGGGTCTAGAAATGTTCAACTTGGGGGGAAAAAAGCTTCATTTCTAAATATGCTGGCTTTTGTAACTGTCCACGCAGGACCGCAGGTACCGCACAGCTATAAAACGAGTTGATTTCTGGGAGACTGCTGCCCCCTTACTTCTGTCTTTGTTGTAAATGCTCTCACAAGTCAGATAAGCTAAGTGAACTTCTACTGGCATAATACATTATAGAGCTAGCCATATAATGCATGTAAACTCTTGGAGTTGGAGTACAGTAAATATAGCATAATTGAGGTCAACAAAGTTTGTTGCGTGTTTTTAATCTATCATAAATTGAAAAATGCTTTAAATGCCATATACTGTTAGTGCTTGTATGAATGAGTACAGTATCAATTGTGTTTTTTCTTGGGTTGTCTTAAGTGTCAAATAGTAAATTAGAACATGACATTCAACCCTTAAAAATCTTGAGAGTGAATGTTAGTAAGAAATAGCAGCCTTAATTAATCTTTTTTATCATCTGATTTTCCTTATAGATTTAGTAAAATGTAATATAGATTCAGTTTTTTAACTTTTCTTTTCTATTATTTCTCTAGTGTTGTTAATAACAATACTTGTAGTCGAAGGGATTGCTGTGGCCCAAAAGACCCAAGGTAAAGTACTTAAAGTGATCACTTATCACATACTCAGGACAGTGAGTGGGATGGCTTATTGGAAAGGATTGCAACTTTTGAATACTATTTCCGTAATCCCTCTGGGGCGATCCAGTGACCTAAGGCATTCTGTCAACCTATCAGTCTCAATTTTACTGAGTTCAGCTGCAGTTAACTAGAGTAAATTGTCAAAGTCTTGCCCTGATAAATTTTTTAAATGGGCATCACTAGTAGCTCCTAGCACTCTGTGGATTATGTCCAAAAATTAAATGAGATTCATGCTTTATCACTCAGCAGAAATAAAAATCCCTTTTTTCAATGTAGACAAATAAAATATTTCCGTCAGTATCTTATTCAAAGCCCTGTGGACCTGTTCTGATTGTCCTTGTTTATGAAAGAAGATAAGCTAATGTGCTTTTCGAACCAGATTTTCATGTCAGAGTTTAGAACATTTACTGATTTACTTTTTATTTTCATCTAAGTTATACATACACATGACAAAAATCAAAGCATTCTAAAAAGTTAATTATGAAAAAGTAGTTTTCCATCCTCTGCTACTCTACTTCCTTCTCCATAGAGATAACCAGAATTTTAGCTGAATCTTTTGGTATTTCCCTGCGTATTTCTAAATAATGTTATACTGTTACTTCTTAATATTTCAGTTTTACATATTAGACAATGATTTCCCACCATGGAAGATGAAAATTTAGCTCTTCCATGCTACTTTCTGCCCCTGACTCTATACCAGTGTTCTCTTACTTTCCTTCTGTACCACCTGTTTGGCGTAGTTCTGTCATATGTAATTCTGGTCACATCTGTTCTCAGAATTTAAGTCACTCACAGAGCTTTTTCCGTATGAAAATTTTGTCCTTCAGTTTAGGAAATTTTTATTTCCCTTTTTCCTTGTTTAAGTTTTTAAATTCCCTTTTCTCTATTTTTTTCTGTTTTATCCTTTAAAAACTTCTGTTTGGTTATGGGATATATTTGTGGTGGTTGTTTTTCTATTTTCCATCTGTCTTTCTACTCTGCTTTCTTCTCAGTCTCTATTGAGACTTCCCCAACTCTACCGTCTAAACCAGGAATGGGAAAATTTTTTCTGTAAAGGGCCAGACAGTACATGGTTAAGATTTTGCGGGCCTGACAGTCTCGGGAGCAATGACTCACTTTTGCTGTTGTACCGTGAGAGCAGCTGTGGGCCACAGGCACAAGAATGGACGTGGACTTGTTCCATTGTCAACTTCCGTTACAGTAAGAGGCCACAGGTCGGATTTGGCCAGAGCTACACTTTGCGGTCTTCTGCTTTAAAATTTCTACTAATTTTTCATTTCTTCTGTTTTTAGAAAATTTTTGTTTTCTGAATATTCTTAAAGTATCCTTGTTCGTGTTTTATAGATACACTCTTTTTCTCTAAGGGGATTAAATGACAGTTTTGTTTTAATTTTTTGGTTTTTTTTTTTTTAATCTTTGTTTCCTCAGATTTGCTTTCTTCTTGTTTTTTATTCATTGTTCATATTAGAGGCTTTCCTCAAATATCTGGTGCTCCTTGACTGTCTACTGTTACTTATGAGTGGAGCACTGAAATCTGATGATTAGCTGTCTGCAGGTGTGGAAGGACTTGTTTCCTGTGACCCAGCACTGGGGAATTCCTGAGTCTGCACTGCTGGCACTCTCTGGACTGTTGAGAGCCCCCAGACAGGAAGCTTTACATGTCCTGCTTAGACGTTCTGCATCTTACCTAGAGGCTTTTAAAGGAGTTGAGTGGGGGGAAGAGGCCAGGAATGCCATTCACTGTGTTCCCATTCCCTAGTCTCCTTGTTACGGGTTGGTCACCCTCAGCTGTGCCCGGTGTCTCCTAGTCCAGGAACCTTGCTTTATCTTCTGCAAAGGAATCACCTCATTTTCCGATGTGGTGACAGCAGCAGCTACCTAGATTTGTAGAGCAGGGGAGGGTATTAGAAATCAGATTGATTCTAAAAAAAAAAAAAAGTAAAAAGAAATCAGATTGATTCTAAATAACTCTTACCCAGGCCTCATGTTTTTAGAAAGGACAATTTCACCACCACCTGTCATGCCCTCTCCTGCTCACCAAGTACTGCTAGTTGTTGTGATTGCATCTACCTCTTTGTGCCTCTTTAGGGGTTTATTTTTGCCCTTAAAAAATCCAGAACTGTTGGAGGAGTTTAAGGAGAGAGAACTAAATGCATGTGTTCAATCTACAGTCTTTAACTAAAATCCTTTGTAATCTTTGGATCATATTTGGCTTTTGTGTTAAACTAAATATAGAGGTACCATACCAGAGATAAACCCCTGGGATCCTTTTATTTTTATGTCAGAACTGAATTTTATAGAGTTGCACTGACTTATCAGATTCTCCCACATGGTTTTGCCCTTGTAAAATCTAAGCATTTTATTTCCCTGCTCGCCTACAGGGCAAACTTGTCCTCTAGCAGCAAGTTCTTCCTACCAGCACAGCATACAATTTTACCTTTCTCTCACTTCTGCTGTATTCAGTTTGTTGCACTAAACTTGGCCGTGGTTCTTGCAAAATTATATACACTATCTGTGTGACCTAGAGTGGGCAATTGTTTGGCTAAATTATGGGGAAGAGAGAAGAATGCTGTTCTCTTCTGCTGTAATTCATGTTTTAAATGCCATTTTTCCCTAAGATGGACAAAATGTTGGAATCAAGCATATTCCTGCAACCCAGTGTGGCATTTGGGTTCGAACCAGCAATGGAGGTCATTTTGCTTCACCAAATTATCCTGACTCCTATCCACCAAACAAGGAGTGTATCTACATTTTGGAAGGTATTTGACCAATTTCTGTCTTTTAATGGATGAATTTTAACTTTATTATAAAACTAAGTACATTGGTAAGATGCCCAGTTTAAGCCAGTTTGAACAAAATTTAAACATGTATTTGAATTAAACTCTAGTAATTATACTGAATATTGAACACATTAACAAAATAATAGTTGAAATTTTCTAGGAATTTTGAATCTCCTAAAATATAATTCAACCAGATGCATCAGTATAGATGAGAAATTTCTCTAATAAGAAACTTGAAAGAAACAAACAAACTCAAACTTATGGCATCTCTTATCATGCTTTATGCAGATTTATGTCCATAGTTACATTAGTTCTTGTCATTTCTTCTGTTTTTCTATTCATTGTATCTCATGAACTAAGCATTAGCTTTTGTAGTCTAATTTTAATTAAGTACATTTAACTAATTTAATAAACAGCATATTCCAAAGGGAAAGATCACTGTAGTTCTGCAGAGCAACATTGTTATTAGTGATATATAACATTAATTCTGAAGTTTATATGTAATAGTCCTCATGATTCTCATCTGTGAAACAGTAACAGAGCAGTTGTTTTACTTTCCCTACTTGTGTCAGGACATTTATGCTTTTCTTTGTGTTGCCCTCATTTACTTGCTTTTATTTTCTAGCTGCTCCACGTCAAAGAATAGAGCTGACCTTTGATGAACATTATTATATAGAACCATCATTTGAATGTCGGTTTGACCACTTGGAGGTTCGAGATGGGCCATTTGGTTTCTCTCCACTTATAGATCGTTACTGTGGTGTGAAAAGTCCTCCACTCATTAGATCAACAGGGAGATTCATGTGGATTAAGTTTAGTTCTGATGAAGAACTTGAAGGACTTGGATTTCGAGCAAAATACTCATTTATTCCAGGTAATGAAGTTGTCTTTTTTTCACTGGATCTCACTCTGGTTTTAGAATCTTATGTCTAGAAAAGAGAATTTAGTCAAATTAATCAAATCAACGTTTCAAAGAAATTAGCAAGGCCAAAGGGAAATCACTTCGTGAATAAATAAAACCAAAAATTGGAAATAGAACGGTATCACTTGAATTTTGAAGCATTTCATAGATGGCATCCCATTTTTCTTAGATTTCTTTATGTTTTATAATGTATAGCAGGGCTTAAAAACATCAAGATAAATATATTTTAAAAGATAATTCAGCAAATTGTCTTATTTTCATAATCCTTACCAAAAATTATTTTGGCAGGTTTTTTCCATTGGAATGCTTGAATTACCACTCATTTGAATAAGTAAGCTATAGAAAATATTGAGCAATAGAAAAAGTACTGCTCTGCACTTGGAGGCAAAAGACCTGGGTTCGAATCCGTTCTCTGTTACCTGATAGCTATAAGACTATTCATCACAATTGCACCTGAGGGTTGCTATTGGTAAAATGGGAATACCTGATGTATTACTTTCCTAAGGCTGCCTTAATGAACCAAAAATTTAGCAGCTGAAAACAATAGAAATTTATTCTCTCAGAGTTCTGGAGGGCAGAAAACCCAACAGGGCCACATTTCTTCTGGGAACTCTAGGGGAGAATCCATTGCTCACCTCTTCTAACTCCTGGGGGCTTCCCCAGAATTCCTGGATTTGTGGCCACATCACTCCAGTCCCTGCCTCCGTCTTCACATTCCCCTGTCAGAATCCTTAACCAATCCCATCTTTTGTAATGTAATTGTCACTCTTTTTTTTTTTTTTTTTTAAACCACATAAAGTAATACAGGTTCTGAGATTTGGATTAGGGTCTCCATTCAGCCCACTCTGTCTTACCCTGCCCTGTATCTGTGAACACTTTGAGACCTGCAATACTCTCTGGTGTAAAACGGAGAGTGCATATCCCTAATGTTATTGCTCCTGTCGTCAAACAACTTGTGGACTAACAAGATGAAAAAATAACTTAGTGTACCAATTATGTCATTTCTTTGCTTTTATTTGTTTTCATGTAAGAAATTTATTAATTAAAAAAAATCCAAATGAAAAGAAAATATCCATCATCTTACCATCCTATATATAAAAAACCACTGTTAACAATTTGGTGTGTATCCCTTCAGATGTTTTTCTGTATCTTTTGATTTTGTTTTACATAACTGATGGTATACATCTATATTACCTGCTTTTTTGCCTGAACAACATAATCAACTTTTTTTTCTTGTCAGTAAACATGGGAATTTTTTTTTCTTCTTCTTTTTTTTTTTTTAACAAACATGGGAATTTTTAAGTGTTGTTTCAGTATTTATGTTCTCAATGCCAAAAGGATAACATTTCAGAAAGTAAAGTTTATCTAATAGACTTTATTTTTTAGAACAGTTTTAGGTACCCAGCAAAACTAAGCAGAAAGTACAGAGTTACCATATATCTCCAGCCCTGCACTAACACAGCTGCCTTCCAAAATCATTTGGTACATTTGTTACAGTTGATGAACCCACACTGACACATCATCCCCCAAAATCCATAGTTTACATAGGGTTCAATGTTGGTGTTGTGTGTTCTCTGTGTTTGGACAATTGTGGGATGACTTGTCCACCATTACAATATCATATCAAGTATTTCCACTACCCTAAAAATCCTCTGGACTCTGCCTCCTCATCCCTAACTCTTGGCAAGCAAGATCTTGCTGTCTCTGTAGTTTTGCCCTTTCCAGAACATCATATTGTTGAAATCATACAATATGTAGCCTTTCCAGACGGGCTTCTTTGACATAGTAATATGTACTTAAGTTTCCTCTGTGTTTTTTCATTGTTTGACAGCTCATTTCTTTTTAATATTGAATAACATTTCATTGTATGTACAATAGTATATCCATTCTATTGAAGGGTATCTTGGTTGCTCCCAAGTTTTAGCAATTACAGATAAACTTGCTATAATCATCCATATGTAGGTTTTTTCGTGGACAACTTTTTCACTCATTTGCATAAATACCAAGGAGCACAATTGCTGAATCATAGTAAAATTTGTTTTTAATTTTTGCTTAAGTGGATAGTGGTTGTATATATATATGTCATATATATTTTTTATTACAATAAAAATAAATTTTTAAAAATTAGAGTTACCAAAAAACTTAATTTGAAAGTTCAGATAGGACCTGTATACACCAAATTGCCAGAATGAAAAAATTGCTAATTTAAAATATCTCAGAATCTTTAAATAGCCTGCAAAACCTATTTCAATACACAGTTTATTGTATTTAACTGGATGTTCAATTCTTGTTAAAATTGTTTTTAATTCCAGATACTTTCTGCATAGTTATCATATTAAAAAAAGTAGGGGGGAATTTTTTAGCTTAATTAAGAATACATCACAGAGACTTGCCTCTTTTAACTTAATAAACTAAATCCAACCTTGCCGAAAGGGGACAACATTTCAGCTCTTTTGTAGAGAAATGTCAAAGACATATTTAATTAAACAGCAGTGGAGTAAAGTCATAGGAGCTACCTGCCAATGAATCAGAATTCCTTCGTGTGTAGACTATAGTTCTAGAATGTTGTCATTGCATTAAAATTTCCAGAATTGTCGCAGTTACTTCCAGGAAGTAGCAATCCATTAAGAGTCCTCTATTTTCAACAGATAGCACCAGAAATTTAGAGAATTTAATTTAAAATATACTAATTTCTTGGGGCTCCTGGGTGGCTCAGTCAGTTAAGTGTCCGACTCTTTGATTCCTGCTCAGGTCATGATCTAGATTGTGAGATCCAGCCCCACATGGGTCTCCACGCTCAGCATGGAGTCGGCTTCAGGTTCTCTCTCCCTCTGTTCCCTCCACCTGCCTGCCTCAGGCACACATGTGTGCACTCACTCTCTCTCTCTAAAATAAATAAATAACTAAAATCTTTAAAATATACTATCTTCTCATTATTAGTAGTAGTCTTCTTCTAGATTTACTGATCCCTAGACAAAATTTATTTTATAAGTATGACTTGAAATAACTAGACACAGCCATAATTAGCCAATTATGCATTACCTATTTATTTTGATTTTCTTTTTTTAGTGGTAAAACTGTGGAATCCTCACCCACATTATAAGAGCAGTATGGTAGGGTAAGAAAAATTGTCTGGAGAATTGCAGTCTGGTCCTGGCTTTGCCATTGTAAATATGGCCTAAGAAAATCATAACGTCTCTCATTCAGTTTCCTCATCTTCAAGGCGGAATATTACATAGTTTTCCTGATATTGCTCTAATTAGCATGATACTAAGCATAATGTATGTAGAAACTCTGAAGTACTATAAAATGCAAATGTAAGTTAATATAGTCTAGAAATCATAAGTGTTTTATTATAATCTGTCTATATTTTAACCATAATCTGTATAAAATTGCTCTCATGATAAACTAATAGAAAAAGAGCTACTTTTCTTCAAGTAAGAATCTTTATTAAAAAGCCTGATTTTTAATACTTAAAAAAAAGTATTCAATTAAGAGCATTGTTTTTGATGTCTTTTTTTCTTTCAGATAGTCAAACTAGTTTACAAAGATCTGATTCATATATAAGGGTCTTTAACATCTTTTTGACACTAAAGTATCATTATTTCAGTTAATTGATTTAGTTCATAAAAATCAAATACCTGACCAATTTACTGAAATCAGTTATTTTGATATGAACTATTAGTTCTTGGTCTTCTATGAACTACTTCACCGGACAGAATATCCTGTATATCACCTGGTCATTTTTTCCCTGCCACTTTGAAAACACCACTTACTAGCTACTACTTTGTGTGTGTGTGTGGTGAATTACAAATAACATAAAATTCACCATTTTAATCCTTTTTAAGTGTACGAGTGCATGTTAAGTACATTTACAATGTTGTGTAATCGTCACCACCATCCATTTCTAGAACTTTTTTGTTAACACAAGCTGAAACCCTGTGTCCATTAAATACTAACTGCCCATTCCCCCTTTCCTCCAGCTTCTGATACCTACTGTCTGTATGAATTTGACTAATCTAGGAAGCTCAATAAATGGAATCATACAGTGTTAGTATTTGTCCTTTAGTGTCTGGTTTATTTCACTTAGTGTAATGTTTCAGGGTTTATCCATGTTGTGTAGCATATATCAGAATTTTATTTCTTTGTTAGGCTGAATAATATTCCACTGTGTTGTGTATACTACGTTATGTTTATTCATCCATCCATTAATGGACTAGCTATTGCTATTGACAGAGGGTTTCAAGTTTTCAGGTGGCATAAATAAGTTATTCATGATGGGATCAGTAGTATAAACATTACCGTTTTAAAAAACATTGTTCCTATAAATAAGCACCTAAACATGCCCGGGGGGGGAAAAAAACAGTGCTCTGTAGTCTACACCAATGAAAGCTTTCTCTTCCTTTGCTATTAAATGAAGGATTAGACATAACTTAAGACATGAAACCTTAATATAACTCTAAACTATCTCAATGCCAATTACTTTCTTCTTTTTTCTATTACAGATCCAGACTTTACTTACCTAGGAGGTATTTTAAATCCCATCCCAGGTTTAGTATATCACCTCTTTTTCCTCATAGCATTTTGATCAATCTTATTTTCCTTTGAACATCATTCATCTATTCTTTCTAGATTGCCAGTTTGAGCTCTCGGGAGCTGATGGAATAGTGCGTTCTAGTCAGGTAGAACAAGAAGAAAAAACAAAACCTGGCCAAGCAGTTGATTGCATATGGACAATTAAGGCTACTCCAAAAGCCAAGGTATTATCATTTTTGAGTCACTTTAGAGAAGAACATAATTGATTAGCAGAATGTATTGTTTTGATTGATGCAGATACTTGCTGTTATATAAACTGATATTGCAACTTTTTAAAAATTAATTTTATTTCAGTCAGGTTTGGCCATCTAAGATCTCAGCATTGTTATAGTTAAGTAACTGCAACATAGTTTCAGGAATATCACAGAAATATTTAGATTCTTAAAATCTGTGTATTCCTAAATTGAGGGTGCAAGTACTGATCCATATGATTATCGATTCATAAAAAACTCTGAGGAGGAAAAATAGACCACAAGAGGTTGAAGTGTCTTGTCAGAGTTCTCAGAGTTGGTCATGGCACTGTCAAAACCAAAACACAAATAGAGCGAGTCTTGCTTCTGTGTTCATTCCATGCCGTCCTCCGCTAATGATGTAAAGCTTTTATTGGAAAGTACTGCAGGGAAGGATGTTTTTAAATAACTCTGACAGATTGAGATTGGTTGCTGACTACTTTTGCTTTTTGCTTTTAATTTATACTTCTAGGAATATTCACAGTGAAAATTATATTTAATGTGGATATATGTGAAAAGAGAAAGTGAGGATAAGAGAACAAACCATTAAAGAATTATGAAAATCAAATTTAGAATTATGGTAATAAGATAGATTAGATAATGTGAAAACCTGACTGTTACAAAACACCTGGAAACATTGGGTAATATATAACATTTACCCTTTTAAAAGTATAGGTAAGATTTCTAAAAAAAAAAAAAAAGAAGAAGAAGGTAATTCTTATGGACTAGAAATGAAGAGAGAGAACTATAAACCAGAGCAATAAACTGAAAACTGAAATTGTGATGGTATAAATGCCTCTTGCTTATTTCAGTACCCTCCAACTGCTCACCGGTAGACCTGCCAGGAGCTTGGTGTTACTAACCACAGTGAGACAGAAAAGGCCTGGGGTTTGTGTGACCTTTGTGAGATCCCTCACATAAAACTGGAACCCTTAAAGGGAAATATAATCGATATGAAATGGTAGATTAGAAACCTCTTCCACTAACACAGGTTGACAATGAAGAAGCTTATCTTTCTGGGCTCAGTCTTAGGATAAGGCTGGGGTCTCCCCTAAAACTTTTACCTAGAAACCTGTTCTTATTAGAGTTTGGGATGTATGTAATTTACATTCCATGCCCAATCCAGGAACCACTTAGTCTAAAAGTTTACAAAATGATCCTGGCCTCAAAAATCTTTTTAGACATCTGGCAAAAATCAATACAGAATAACCACAGAGGGATACCTGGGTGGCTCAGTTGGTTAAGCGTCTGCCTTCAGCTCAGGTCATGATCCCAGGGTCCTGGGATCGAGTCCTGAATCGGGCTCATAGCTCAGTGGGGGAGCCTGCTTCTCACTCTCCCTCTGCCACTCCCCCTGCTTGTGCTCTGTCGCTCCCTATCACAAATAAATAAATCTTCAGAATAACCAGAGAGGCTATAGGATTGCCATCAGTAAAACACTGCTGAAGGTAAGCTCACAATCCAAAATTAGAAAACATAAGCAAACAACCCATCATGAGTGAATTAGCAAACATAACAGCAAGAAGTTTCTTAGATGCCTAAGAAGTGTTTTAATTATCTTACGAGAAAGAATCAAAAAGACGAGAAAGAAAGAATGGGTACACTTTAAAAATAACCAAGTAGAACTTCCTTAAATAAAAGGTATAGTTATTAAAGGATAGATCTGAGAAAATCACCCAGAATGTAGCTCTGGGGGTCAGGGAGGGGTAGTGGCAGTTTAGCAAGAAAATGTTCAGGCTGACAAAAAACATTGACACGAAGTGATTCCCAAAGCAAGAAAAAAGTTTATATTGACACCTCGCTACATTGGCCACGACAGACAATGAGAAAATCTTTAAAACACCTAGAGAAAAAAGAGAGCTATGAGAATCATTAATAGCAAAATAGAAGCTAGAAGACAATAGAGCAGTAATGTCTTCAAAGTGCTAAGAAAAAAAATAACTGCCAATCTAAAATTCAGTACTCAACTATCATTTTAGAATGTGGGCAAAATTAAGATATTTCTGGGCAAAAATAATAAATGGACCAAATGCTACAATTAAAATCCAAGTATATTCTGTTTTAGGATAACTATGGGAAATTTTAAAAATAAAACAGGAAAGAAATAATAGACAAATATCAAAAGAGATCTGATACAGCAATTAAAATAGAAATCAAGAATGTCTAGGGCACCTGGGTGGCTCAGTGGTTAAGCGTCTGCCTTCGGCTCAGGTCATGATCCCAGGGTCCTGGGATAGAGCCCCATGTTGTGCTCCCTGCTCAGCGGGAAGGCTGCTTCTCCCTTGCCCTCTGCCTGCTGCTCCCCCAGCTTGTGCTCTCTATCCCTCTGTCAAATAAATAAAATATTTTTTTTTAAAAAAGTCACCAATTCACAAGGAAGATACAGTTTTCAATTTTACGTATTAATATGGCCTCAATATACAAAATATGAATTGACAGTTGCTGAGGAAAATTGACAGATCCACAATTATAGTGGGTAATTAATTTCACCTCTCAATCAGGCATACAGAAAAAGTAGTAAGGATCAGATTTAAACAACACAGCATGCCTGATGAGACATGGTATCTTACTCCTAACATCCAGAAAATATGCATGCATTCTCTACAAGCATGCATGAAACATTTATAAAATCTGATCCATATGCTAGACTAAAAACAGAAGTCTAAAATATATAACAGTGCTTGGTATTATGCAGAGCATCCTCTGACAGAAATACAATTAAATCAGGAACCAGCAACCAAAAGATAACCCATATGTTTGGTAATTTAATAATATACCACTTAGTAATTAATAGGTCACAGAAGACATCAAGATGGAAATTTAAACACACTTAAAACTGAATAAAATTGAAAATACATATCAAAATGTGTGGGATGCAGCTAAAAGTATGATAAGGGAGTTTTCATAAATGCTTCTTTTAGAAGAAGAAAAAGATTTAAATTTAATGAGAAGTTTCAACTCAAGAAGTTAAAAGAATGACCAAAGAAGTCCAAAGAAAGGGTAATAATGAAAGCAGAAATAAATGATATTTTAAAAAAGAATCAACAAAGCCAAAAGCTGGCCCTCTGTAAAAGATAACTATAGGTATACCTCTGCCAAGATTTATTTAGCCAAAGAGACCTAAATAATATTTAGAAATGGAAAAGGTCATGGGGGCGCCTCGGTGGTTCAGTTGGTTAAGTGGCTGCCTTCAGCTCACGTTACGATCTCAGGGTCCTGGGATCGAGCCCCACGTTGGGCTCTCTGCTCAGTGGGGAATCTGCTTCTCACTCTCCCTCTGCCCCCTCCCCCTGCTCATGCTCTCTTTCTCTCTCTCTCTCTCTCTCTGTCTCTCTCATCTTTAAAAAAAAAAAAAAATGGAAAAGGTCATGAATCAACTATAGTAGAGATTTAAAAACTCTTCTAAGACAAACTATGAAGAAAACCTGAACAAAAGAGAAAAAAAGAAACCTGAGGGTTTCTTCAATAAATAAATGACAAAGGGAAAAAAGCAGCAGTGAATCATATATTAAAAGAAATGTGAAGTCAAATGAACATGCGGATTCAAAGTATAAACGTAGGAAACAGTACAAGACAGAAGTCTGAACACTGGTATTTGATAAGAAATTATTTGTTGGTTTGGTAATAGAACTGATCATATTTTAAGTGGTCTTTGGCAATACACATAGAACTGTTGACATGTAAATTCTCTCTGGGATTTGTCTCAGTATGTGGGATGTATATGGTTCAAGACTGGCTGAGTTAATAACTGGTAAAGCTAGGGGATGAGGACAAGGGTTTATGATACTGTTTTGTCTGCATTTGCACATTTGAAATATTCCATAATCAAACTGTTTTAGACTATAAGAGAATACTAAGAGTAGTTCTTTGCTGATATATTTATAAACAGTCTAAACAGACAATTTCCTGAAATATGTATGTGTATACATACATATTTACATACATGTATATAAAATTTACAAAAACTAAATCAGAGAAATAGAAAACCTGAATAAATCTTACCAATTAACAAAATTGATTTTGTACCTAAAATATGTAAACAGAAAAGTTGGTCAGATTGGATTTTTACCAGGTACTCAAGGAACATGTTATATAAATGGTTTCAGAAAATTGAAGGAAAAAAGAACACTTCCCAGCCTATTCTATCAGAACTAAACAGCATGGAGAGTTATAAACCAGGATTATTTGTAAAATGGTGGGGTGTGGGGGGCAGACCCAAAAAACTAAGCAATAACAAACTAAACCTAGTAAAGTTTTTTTTAGAAATCATGACCTAGAAATTCTTAGTTTAAGATAAGAAAATTGAATAATGTAGTTTCCCATATTAACAGATTAAAGGAGAAATCCTGATATAGCATTAGATGCAGAAAAAATACTACATGAAACTTAAAAACTACTGATAAAAATCTCTCAGTAATTCCAACATAGGAGAATGCATTTCAATCACGATGAAGAGTATCTACTAAAACCCTAAATCAAACGTTGTAATTAATGGTGAAACCTTAAAAGCATTTCCTTTAAGCTCAAGACAAGTCAAAGATGTCTGTTGTCAGTGTTTTATTTGGTGGTGTTCTGAAATCCTGGTCAGTGCAACAAAATGAGAGAAAGAAAAAAAGTTCATCAATTGTAAAAATCAGTTGCTTTTCTTTATACTACAGCCAGAAGCAGTTGGAAAATAAAACTTTTTAAAGCACTATTTACAGGGCGCCTGGGTGGCTCAGTTGGTGAAGGAACTGCCTTCAGCTCAGGTCATGATCCCAGAGTCCCAGGATCGAGTCCTGCATCGGGCTCCCCGCTTAGCAGGGAGTCTGCTTCACCCTCTGACCTCTCCCCTCTCATGCTCCTTCTCACTCTCTCTCTCTAAAATAAATTAATAAAAATCTTTAATAAAAAGATTTTTAAAAAGGCACTATTTACAATAAGAACAAATCAGA